GAAAAATAATCTTAGCCCGCATCTTTTAGTTATTTCAAAATCTAAGCGGACAGAACTTCTTCAGCTGGCTCATGATCATCCAATTTCCGGTCATCTTGGCTGTCGAAAAACTCTACATCGATTGGCAATTCGCTTTCATTGGGGCGGAATGAGGCGTGACGTTGCGCATTATGTAAGATCCTGTGACCTTTACCAGCGTTTTAAGGCCGGAAACGAAAAGAGAGCAGGTTTCATGCAATCTCACGTAGTACAATCGCCTTGGCACACTATCGGAGTTGATTTAACTGATCCTTTACCTAAAACCCCGCGCGGGAATGCCTACATCCTAGTAGTAGTCGATTATTTCACGAAATGGGTCGGATTTTTCCCTCTAGACACCATTAAATGCAGAAATATCGCTCAGCTACTGCATGACGAAGTCATTTGCCGTCATGGCATTCCTGTTAAAATTGTTTCCGATAATGGTGCACAATTTGTTGCCGACGTTTTTCGAGAAACTTTAAAGGTCATGGGTATCCGGCATCGAACGACCCCTCTTTATCATCCTCAATCAAATTTATCTGAGCGTGTCAATCGGACATTAGAATTTATAGAGTTTACAAACTTTCGCATTTATGAACATCTGAATTTTGGAATTTATGGAATTTACGAACCGTCGATAAAGAACAATACAGAAGCGTCGAGAAAGAAAAATACAAGGTAGCTGAGGTCAAAGTATGAGAAAATAAAGAAAAAAATATATCGGCACGCAAGAAGAAAAAGGCATTTACGCACTCATACTATCCGACTGATCTCTTATCAAAAAAACAATCGCAGGAGAAGAAAATAAAACACACAACTCTATATAAACGTAAAGAAAAGCCTAGCGGCCAACGAAAATATAGAACTTCTTCTACACTAAACTTAAGAAGTTCTACTTTTTAAAAACTTTTAAAACTTCATACGCTAAAACACCGAACTTCCAAAATTCAGAAATTCTTATCTGCTAAACTTCAGAACTCCCCAAATTCTTACATGCTAAACTTCCAAAAATTCCAAAATTCAGAAATTCGTATGTGCTAAACTTCAAAAGTTCTAAAGATCAGAACTTCAGAAATTCAAAAATTCTCATGTGCAAAATTCAGAAGTTCCACAATTCAAAAATTCAGATTATGTGCTAAACTTCCGAACTTCTGAAATTCAGAAATTCAAAAATTCAGAATTCTCATATGCTGAACTTCAGAAGTTCCACGTATGTATCCCTTTGCAGACTATCGCTTACTTTCAGATTTAGTACTTTTACAAAAAGCGAACATCTCTGACCAACACCGAAGCTTTTACATCTCGGTGAACACAGATAAGGCCTGAAATCTTTTCTCATAACCGTGCATCACAGATGTTCTGATATTCAACTCTACCACATATTAGCAGTACAATTTCAGTTCGTTGTGTGTTATTTTTGTTCAATGAACTGCGTATACTGCTTGTGCATTTCATGATTAGATAATCGAACGTTCTATCGCGCTTTTGTTCTACCATGTTTTTGTTCTAAAGCACGGTAAAAAAAGCGTGGTAGAACAAAAGCATATTAGAACAAATGCTTATTAGAACAAAAGCGTGATAGAACGTTCGATTATCTAATCATGAAATGCACAAGCAGTATACGCAGTTCATTAAACAAAAATAATACACAACGAACTGGAATTGTACTGCTAATATGTGATAGAGTTGAATGTCAGAACCTCTTTGATGCACGGTTATGAGAAAAGATTTCAGGCCTTATTTGCTGTGGTCACCGAGATGTAAAGCAAACACTACGCTTTTCCTAACGCATGCACTACAATGCATTTAGATGCGTTTGAGTCAAATAAAACACGTTTTTGAAGTACAGTTGAGCTTTAAGTAGTGACTTTTAAAGTCTTTGTCATCTGAAATACAAGCAGTATAAAAGACGGTAAAGTTAAATTCAAATCCAAATTGTAAGACTAAATGCACGAGTGAGTACTGGAACCTGATGAAGATTCAAAACACCTGCAACTACTAAGAATGTAATGGACTATAAACATCTGTGAGCCTTAAATGGACGTGTTAGATCAACGATCTTTGTTGAAAGAGCTTCGTAGATCCTGAAAATTAGCTTATCCTTCTTTCAAGTGTCAGATCCCTAGTAGAATTTCTGCGTAATTTTATGCACATAAAAGTATTAACTTATGACTTGCACATAATATGCCTCGTCCATGTATACCGTATCATCTTCGAATTTTCACTATCTTGAAAATCAATACCGATTTTCAAGAAAACTGGAAAATCGATTTCGAATTTCAAGATCTTGGGAATTATTTATAGAAAATTGATTGATTTTCTAGAATATTAGAAAATCAAACTCAAAGTTCCAGTATTTATAAAATCGACGCAGAATTCTGATATTTTTGAAATTCTATGGCGATTTTCTGAATAAAATGAAAAGTCAATTTATGGAAAACAGGAAATCGCGAATTTCTAAAAAGTCAGAAAATCTACGAGCATTTTATAAATATCAGAAAAAGCTCCACTATTTTTCAAACCGATTTTCTATAAATTAAAAATGAATTCCAAATTACAGTGTCAATCTGACAAGGTTGAAATTTGAATTAAGAATTTGAGAATGCAATAGACAGTCAGTCTGAATGAAAGACTTAGATTTGTTTGAACAAAATGCTTCTTCTCCTAAAAATACTCATAGTATATGAATTAAACATGCTACAGGTTAAGCACGATACGTTTATTATTCAAGCACCCTAACTTTTCTATTTTGATGACATACCCAGGCAGGCATTTTGTTTGATCTAACGCACTGGGAAACGCGTTTGGATGCGTTAGGCAAAAGTAAATGCTGTTAAACGCGTCATATATTAACACGTTTATATGCGTTAATCAACACTGAACGCGTTTAAATGCGTGGAAACTAAACGCGTTTGACTGCGTCAAAAATTAACGCGCAAAAAGCTGATAAAACGAACGCGTCCTGATGCATCCAAAAGACTAACGCGTGCGAACGCGTTCAAAATGCGTACACATATGTAACATCTTCAAAACAGTCAAAAATGATATCATGGACTTGTGCCTCTTTCGTTTTTGTTTTGTATTTTTCCCTCGGTCTGCAATAAATATAGTTTAAACAAACTATCAAAGGAGTACTACCACCCAGACCGTCGACAACTGTGTAATTAATCGCCTATTAAATGCCAGCTAATAGCTAATGAAATAGGCATTAAATGTGATTTTCACACCTTATAAATGGGAACGTTTTAATGCCTTAAAATGGCATTTTTTAACAGGCTAAAAACTGTCCGAAAATACACTCTAAAAAACAGAACTCCGTTAGAAAACTGAAACTAAAATGGGACGCTGTTGTAAGTTTTCTAAAAATTGGCAAGGCTGATTTTTTCATTTTCCGGAAGTACAGAAACTGAGTTTTTCATTTTTGCAGATCCCTATCTGAGACATTTGTTCTTCAGAAAACATCAGGTCGAAAAACACATTTCCATTTTCTTAGTTTTTCGGAGAACATATTCCCTGCGTTTGATTCTCCTTTTAGATGTGTTATCATATCTTCTGAAAAAATCTTTTCCAAAGTGAATTATTGGATTTGCTTCACAAAATTTCACAAGTAAATAAGTGTTTAATGAGAAAATAACTTATTGTTATAAACATGAACGAATGTGACCTACCGGTTTGCTGAGATGGTACCGAGTATTTCGGATCTTAGACTATCCAGTTACATTTTCTTAAGACTATCTTATACATCATTTTGTAGTCCGTGAAATTTTCTATTGAATGATATATAAAGCAGAGTGGTCAAGAACAAATTTAATGGATGGTACAAACATGAATGAGGATGACCTATCGATTTGCTGAGATAGTACCGAGTATTTGGGATCGTAGACCACCTGGTTTACATTTTCTTATGATGATCTGATACCTCGTTTTGTAGCCCATGAAATTCTCTGTCGAACGGTGTATAATAGTTGATATTTGCTCTAGGTAAAAGAGGTGGAATGATGAAAATACTCTGAGTAAAGATCATTTAGCGAGAACAGAGTTTTTTCTGCTAACATGTTTCCGGAGGCTCTGAAAAGGACTTTTAAGGTCTAAAAATATGTTAGGGTTAATCGAGGACAAAAACTGCATCGGATAATTAACATAAGACTAATTTGAGCGATTTTGGCTCTTATCGTCCCCCATCCTTTATCATCATGAGCAAACGTCTGCTTTCCTCCTTCCTTCTTTCTTCTATCACTCTAAGTCAGCGTGCGTCATACTTCGCGTATAAGTTTACATCTTCTTGCCGTAATTACTCAAGGTAAATCCCCCACGGTAAGCAAAAAAGAGAAAGGCATTCAACCGTATGTATGATTCTGTTTGATTAACAAGTTACACAAACACATGGTATACCTTTTAAACACTGCCGTGTTAGTTATTCATCATCAAAGTCACGAAGAAGATGCAGCAGCAGAAGAGAAGAGATAATGATATGTCTTCACGGCAATCAACTGATCAACAGCGACAAGAAGCCAGCGACGCTGGTAACAATAGTCTAACTCGACCGAACGAAACTGATGTTAGTGCAAATAATGTCGCAGAGAACTATCCACCGCGAGCAGGAGTTAACACACGTAGTCGTCGTCGAAATTTTGAAGATTTTGTTGTCGTTTGGTTAGATGCCAACATCTCAATAACGAATGACAATAAACAGGCGTTCGCGCAATTACGAAAAATTGTAAATCGTCTAGAGACTTTTAACAGCACCGATGAATGCGTTGATTATATTACCGACATTAAAGACGAGAAAGTGTTTCTAATCGTGTCCGATTCCTTTGGCGAACAAATCATTCCTCGCGTTCACGAACTTCAGCAAATCGCTTCGATCTACGTCTTCTGTTTTAACAGAGAACATCTTGAACAATGGATTCAATCCTTTAAGATTGTTGCAGGTGTTTATGCTGATATAACACCGCTCTGTGAACAACTGCAAAAGGACAGAAGAACTGCAGCGAACGATCTCTTGGGAATCCAAGCAGTGAGCTCTATTTCTACATCATTTCCAGGTAAAATAGGTGTTGCTGTTCGTATTATCAAGTCATTATTATCAACGTCAAAATTATCATTTATATACGCACAACTGTTAAACGAGATTTTATTAGAATTTTCTAATACAGAGCGGAGTAAAAAAGAAATGATTGATTTTTGTAGAGAACAGTATAGCGACAATGAAGATGAACTACACGTAATTAGTGAATTTGAAACGTCGTACGTTAGCGAGAATGCGATTTGGTGGTACAAGAAGGAATGCTTTCTCTACCGTCTCATAAACAAAGCACTTCGAACACAAGATGTGGACACACTCTACAACCTGAAGTATTATATACAAGATCTTCATAAACAAATCGAACGAAAGCATTATGAATTTCTAAACACAGAGAGAATACAAGATACCAGTGTGAGAAGACGACGACCATCAGCACTCCGTTGCTTACTCTGCCAGTGCTCTAGAGACACTCTTCACTCAAAACACGTCATCGAAACATTAACGGTTTACAAAGGATTTGGTATGCCACTCGATGAGTTTAAAAGCTTAAAGAAAAAAATCGGTGGCTTCGCGTCAATACAAACCTTTATGTCGACGAATAGAGACGAGAGTGTTGCTCGTACTTTTGCGAGTAAATCAATCGGAAAAGCAGGTAAAATTCCTGCATTACTTAAAATTGAAGTTGACATTGAAAGGTGTAAAACACCGTTTGCCGACGTTCAAACACAAAGTGAGTTTAAATATGAAACGGAGATTTTATTTACTACAGGAACTGTATTTCGAATAAAGTCATTTCGTTTGGAAGAAGGTGTTTGGAATATTTCACTGGAATTAGCTGGAGAAGACGATAAAAAATTATGTTTCGAATTGTGTGAAGAAAAAAGACAAGATATCTTTAAAGGAGATACTTTGATGAAGTGGGTAAAGCTAATGTGGGACATGGGAGACTTGGATAGATCGGAGAAGTACTATATTATGTGGCTTCAGAACTCATCGTATAGATATTCCATGCTTTATTGCGGTGCTGATTTGGTGCTCTCATGGGCGAAAGAGAGAAAGGAATATAAAGAAGCTAAAGAAAACGCTGAATCAGAACATCAATCGTTACCTCTACCTTATGAAAATTTAAAGCATACTAGAGTGTATGGACAAATTAGATTTGAAGAAAATATAAAATACTTAACAGAAGCATCTAGAATTCATTCTACCGGTCTTCCACGCCCTCATACACAGGTCATTGTCATTGACGATCGCAAACTGGTTGAATATATGAAATGTGTTTTTAGTTAAAAATACACTCTGTAAAAAATTAACTTCCAATAAGACTCTATAGTCAGTTCCGAGTTAGTTGCATCAATACAACTATTTTGAAGACGCAGTTAAACAGCTTTGGTGACGAAGGGTCGAAGACATTTGAAGACGACTACGTAGATTCTTCCAGTGGAGCGGAAATACCATAGTGGTGTCGGAGTAGTCCAGTAAATGACTTACAATTTTTTTCTAAAATGATAAAAGAGTAAGAAATCTAAAAAAGAATGTGGTGAAATAAATAACAGAACATCATAAACAAAAAAAATGGAGTTAGAATCGGCCGGTTGGTAAGTTAACACGGTTTTCGACCTAGTTAAGTTAGTGCACCGCTAGTTCAAATGTTACGGAATTACTTTTTTTCAACTTTCACGTGCCATAACTTTTCTGAGAATGATCCAAATACAATGACACTTTTACCAGAGGTAGACAGTACCGAATTTTATCATCTCCGAAAATTCCGTTGAGTTTAGATCATCCCATAGGGAGTTATTACAAAAATAACGGCCGTTACGGAATTACCGAAAATGGACTTTTTTCCAGTGATGTCTAAGTTTTACATTTTTCTGCTCAATGAGATGTGTTCTGAAGCATAGCTGTGTAGCTTGAAACCGGCTTTCAGAGTATCCACTTGGTTTTCGATTAGAATCGCTCGATGATAGAAAAATTTGAAAAAACAGTCCGTTATGGAATTACCTTCGTTACGGAATTACAGCTTTTTTTGGTTCGTTCAAATCAGCAGGTTAAACTCCATTACAAAAGTTGTCATAGAAAAATACTTCCCATAGCAGTAGACAGTATCTGATCTGATCTTTCCGATGCACTGTAGAAAAACGTTCTGAAATCGTTTTGACTTGGAGAAAAACCCGTTTCAAAACTTGGTCTTTCGAAAAACCAATTTTCTTGGAAAGCACCTAAACTCAAAAATAAATACGCTGTCTTGTAGAGAATTAATTCTCTACAAAATACCATATCTGTTAATTTTTTTCGCGAAAATATCTAGGTCAGGAAATTAAAAATAAAATTTGGATTTCATTTTTTGAGGTCAAAATTTATTTTTTTTGAAGCTTTTAAGATTATATTCGAAATCAGCTTCAAAAACTACGTTACACGATATGCTTCACAAATTCTTAAAGTTAAAAAAAATTTTCGAACCATCTTAAGTGAAGGTGACCGTTAGCTGGACAGGCCGTGTATTATTAATTTTGCTTGGAAATATGTGAGAAGTGAAAACACAGATTGAAAATAATTTCAAAAAAACCTACGTTTCATCTAATAAAGGCGACTATAAAGTTTTGACTCGGGAATGGGATATATGTAGGTTTGTAGAGAAAGACTTTCTCTATCCAGCGGTATGTATATTATCAAATTCCCGTCCGTAACGCCTACTGTCCAGCAGTTTTAAACTCAACCTCGGTCTGTCGAATTTTTATGCGAAAAAATACTCATTTCTTTCGAATATATATGCGGTGGATCGTGGCTGGAGTATTTTTTCGCATAAGAATTCTATAGACCGCGGTTGACTATAAAGCCACGAGAAATCAGGCGTTACGGGCGACCGCGTTTTCGTTTTAGAAAATACTCTTGGATAATTTTAAAAATTTGGATAAACTGAAATTAAAACTGCTGATTTTTCGTGAATATAACTCTAGATAGCATTACTCAAAATATTTTTATTATTGGATTCAAAAAATAATATACCCAGCGCCTCTTCGAATAACTCGGCAATCCAAAGAGATATCGAAAAATGGTTTTCGCCCACTTGTAGCTAAGTCCGAACTATGGTAGAAAAAAATTTCTATTAGATCTCCATGAGTTTTCTAGAAGGATCTTTGGAAAACCAGCTCGGATCACTAGAAGCTGAGATAGCAATCTATTAGTTTTCTTCTATAGATACATAGTCCAAAGTGTCCTCTCTATAAGAAGAACCAAGCGAATTCTTAATTATTAGTTGGAATAACCCATTTTCCCCTATTTTGGAACAAATTTAAAAAAATTCATAACTTAGTGAGGATCCATTCAAATTATGTCGGAATATCAGAATGTATTCTATTTCACCTGCTCAATAATATGCAATTTAATAAAAGCTTTATAAATCAACAGAAAAGACTTATCTGTAAACTCATCTGAGCGTCCAGCGCGAAACACGACTCTTAATGGTTTGATAGGAACAGTTTTGTTGGGTGATGACGAAGTTATTATACGAACAGTTGAGTGGAGTTTCAGTGTGGTCTTCTCCTAGAAAATGTGTAATGAAAACGTTCAAACAAATATATTTGGATACCAAAATTGCAACCGAAGTTGCCGAAAAGTTTCCTGGTGCCTTTTATTCTACACCTTTGAGAAACATTCCCGATCAAACACTTTTATATATTTTTATACTAGACACTTGTGTTCTTTATACCCAGAAAAGGATAACGTCTCTACAATATTCCATCGCAACACTATATCAAAAATAAAATCAATGCAGAACTATTGTCTCACACGTTAGTACTTGAAAAACACTCATTCACAACTGATCGAGTACGTATAGTAGAAAGCCGTGCAACAGGTTATTTTGTGCAGAATTTATTTCTTTTTAACCTTATCATTTTGAAAAACTTTGAGATAAACGCTAAGTCATCGAAAAATGCGATTAAAATAGATGTTGTGAATGAGAAATTCAAGTAAATCGTTTTAAACAGAAACAAAACTTCATATTTTAGTTACAATATTACTGCTCGATTCGAAACAGTTTTCGTTGCACTTTCGAATAGTATAGTTGAAAAAGAATTTAAATTCACATCTGAATATTAGAAATATGCTGTTTAAAAATTTTCTCTACTTAAAACCTAAAATTTGAAAATCCAAAAATGTAGCTTACGAGAAAGTCTTTCGAAACTGTTAGTTTAGATAAAGATTTATTACTGGAGTGCATGGGTATAAAACTTGCATCGAGATTTTTAGAACTTGTTTTCATAATTGTCAATATGCATATACTGAATTTAGTATTATTGTGTATCGAATTCGTACGGATACTCTTAAAAACTTTTACAAATTCCTCTTGTGAATTCGTAAACAGAGAATAGATCAAATACGATGCTGATCAATTCGCAAATAATTAGTAAAATTAGTTTACGAATTCGTCTTCACTGTTTTTGGAACCAGATTGATTCGTAAATACGAATTAGCGAATTCGTATTACGAACTGATCCCGCGGTTGAAAATGGATCCACGAATTGACAAACCCATTCTGCAAATTCATTGCGAATCGATGTGTACGCTTATTAGGCTACGTAGGGACAGGACACTTTTCTCTGAGGTTAAAAATAGATAGATTCGT